ATAATTATATAAATTAAATAAATTTAAATTATTATTAATTAATAAATTAAAATTAATTAATAATTAAAAGTTAATAACACTAAATAATAATTACTATTAATACATGTATAATTGGAAAAAAGTGTCATGAAGCTATCTAAACGCTAATCCAACTAGTGTTTCAATAATAGTTCAATTATTATAAATTAATAACACTAAAAAACGTCATCATAAGGAAAATATAGGAATAAACGAGACAAAAATTAAGGAGTTGTTTGTTTATCTCTTAATAGTTCAATTAAGAGACAACATCTAAATCGTTAAGAGGTGAATCTTGTTTGGAAAAAAAATCTGCCTCTTAATGGTTCTAGAACCCTCTGAACGATTTTGTATCTTGAATCTCCCTTAACCATTAAGAGCCCTAATTTCATTGTACATAATTACCAAACAATTATATTTTATTTTGCATTATATTATGAGAGCCTTTCAATTATTCTGACCACTTAATCATTTTACACCAAACCATTCAGCAATTGTCAAACATCCCCTAAACATCTTTATCATATATTAAATTGATTTTACTATTTGTGCACCTTAATGGGATGTAAATAGTGTGACATTTAATGTTTATCTCCCAAATATTCATTATTTTGTTTTTTTTCTTTATTTTAATTTAAGGGGTTAATAAAATCCGTAATCACGTAAAATTAATAGAATAAAAAGTTAATTAGTTTGTTCTTTGTGTGATAAACAATATCTTAAAGAACACAGACGTTCAAAACTTCATGTCGCTTAACAAAGTCACCAAATTAGTGATTAGAAATTAGCCGAATAATCATAGAACAACTATGTCGTGCCAAGGCTTGTTGGTTAAGTCAGTGACGAACCGAGGCCTAAGTAACATAAGGATTGCAAGATAAAGTCCAAATGCGCATGTATTATCATTTCCCGAATGGAAGCTAATGCATGGCTGTAAATCGTATTTACCATCATGGACAAATACCGAAAGTCATTTATTTTCAAGGGCAGGGTTACGCGGTGTATACATAGGCAACCGAAGAGAAATTTAGGAAATCTAGAATGATTAAATTTTATCTTCACAGTCAATTGTATTTTCGCTCATTAACGATTAGAGTTGAAATAATATCATTGACATTGATTATTAATAAATAAAATAAAAAATTAAAAAATTGATATTTACCCGGTATAATGAGTAATTTTAATTTAAAAGGTTACAAAATGTTATAACGGGTAAATTTTTGAAAGTACGATGTCTTAATAAAAAATATTTTGAAAGTACATTGCTGTAATAAGAAAAACTAAAAGTAGAATGCTATAATAAAAAAATTTATAAAAGTAAGTTGTTATTTTATGCATTTTCTTTATTTATAAATAATATATGCATATTATAAAAATATTATATATTACATATTATCAAACTATATTATAAAAATATGTTTTATATTATAAAAATATATACCGAGACTAGTGGCTTCCAAAACCCTAGATTCTAGAAGCACGAAATCTAGTCTATAAATAGTTTACCATTTTCCCTTGTTCGAGCCATCTTCCATCCTCCGTCCTCAAGAAGGAGGAACATATGAGGCGCCATAATCCACCCTCTGATGGCCCCAACATCCCCCCATTGATCGCTGTGAGATTTCTTTCTTTTTATTCATTTACTCTCCATTGATGTATCTAAAGACTCAATTTTGGAGATTAAGTTCTTAGTTTAATCAGATCAAGCTGCACCCTTTTTGTTAATGTGATTTTCTATATATGTTTTCTTCTTTAGAGTCGTGGGGTTGGTGGCGACATGCTCGATAAGTTTGTAAGTTGTATCGTCACTTCGTCAATGTTCATTGCATTTCAGGTAGGATATGTTTGTTTTCAACTATCATCAATTACACTTTTTTGGTTGATACTGAATTTTAACTTTTATGCTTTTTGTTTGTGACAGAGCATGGTTGGGCTATTGTTCGCTGAAGCCAGTCGTGGTGGGTGGTTCATACCTCAAGTCACCAACAAAAGAGAAGTTCAGTCTGGTTCGGCCATAGCCAGGACCAGTGAACGACTCATTGACTCGAATCTGACCAAGACTCGATCGGCTGTGATG